AGGATGTTGTTATGGTGTAGCGAGTTTTCATCAGGGTGTTGTTATGGTGTAGTGAGTAGTCATCAGGGTGTTGTTTTGGTGTAGTGAATGGTCATCAGGGTGTTGTCATGGTGTAGCGAGTGGACATCAGGGTGTTGTCATGGTGTAGTGAGGGGTCATCAGGCTGTTGTTTTGGTGTAGCAAGTGGTCATCAGGGTGTTGTCATGGTGTAGTGAGTAGTCATCAGGGTGTTGTTATGGTGTAGCGAGTGGTCATCAGGGTGTTGTTATGGTGTAGTGAGTGGTCATCAGGGTGTTGTTATGGTGTAGCGAGTGGTCATCAGGGTGTTGTTATGGTGTAGTGAGTGGTCATCAGGGTGTTGTTATGGTGTAGCGAGTGGTCATCAGGGTGTTGTTATGGTGTAGTGAGGGGTCATCATGGTGTTGTTATGGTGTAGCGAGTGGTCATCAGGGTGTTGTTATGGTGTAGTGAGTAGTCATCATGGTGTTGTTATGGTGTAGCGAGTGGTCATCAGGGTGTTGTCATGGTGTAGTGAGTAGTCATCAGGGTGTTGTTATGGTGTAGCGAGTGGTCATCAGGGTGTTGTTATGGTGTAGTGAGGGGTCATCATGGTGTTGTTATGGTGTAGCGAGTGGTCATCAGTGTGTTGTTATGGTGTAGCCAGTTTTCATCAGGGTGTTGTTATGGTGTAGCGAGTGGTCATCAGGGTGTTGTTATGGTGTAGCGAGTGGTCATCATGGTGTTGTTATGGTGTAGCGAGTGGTCATCAGGGTGTTGTTATGGTGTAGCGAGTGGTCATCATGGTGTTGTTATGGTGTAGCGAGTGGTCATCAGGGTGTTGTTATGGTGTAGCGAGTGGTCATCAGGGTGTTGTTATGGTGTAGTGAGTGGTCATCAGGGTGTTGTTATGGTGTAGCGAGTGGTCATCAGGGTGTTGTTATGGTGTAGCGAGTGGTCATCAGGGTGTTGTTATGGTGTAGCCAGTTTTCATCAGGGTGTTGTTATGGTGTAGCGAGTGGTCATCAGGGTGTTGTTATGGTGTAGCGAGTGGTCATCAGGGTGTTGTTATGGTGTAGCGAGTGGTCATCAGGGTGTTGTTATGGTGTAGTGAGTGGTCATCAGGGTGTTGTTATGGTGTAGCGAGTGGTCATCAGGGTGTTGTTATGGTGTAGCGAGTGGTCATCAGGGTGTTGTTATGGTGTAGTGAGTGGTCATCAGGGTGTTGTTATGGTGTAGTGAGTGGTCATCAGGGTGTTGTTATGGTGTAGTGAGTGATCATTAGGGTGTTGTTATGGTGTAGCGAGTTTTCATCAGGGTGTTGTTATGGTGTAGCAAGTTTTCATCAGGGTGTTGTTATGGTGTAGCGAGTTTTCATCAGGGTGTTGTTATGGTGTAGCGAGTAGTCATCAGGGTGTTGTTTTGGTGTAGTGAGTGGTCATCAGGGTGTTGTTATGGTGTAGCGAGTGGACATCAGGGTGTTGTTATGGTGTAGTGAGGGGTCATCATGGTGTTGTTATGGTGTAGCGAGTGGTCATCAGTGTGTTGTTATGGTGTAGCGAGTGGTCATCAGGGTGTTGTTATGGTGTAGTGAGTAGTCATCATGGTGTTGTTATGGTGTAGCGAGTGGTCATCAGGGTGTTGTTATGGTGTAGCGAGTGGTCATCAGGGTGTTGTTATGGTGTAGTGAGTAGTCATCAGGGTGTTGTTTTTGTGTAGCGAGTGGTCATCAGTGTGTTGTTATGGTGTAGCGAGTGGTCATCAGGGTGTTGTTATGGTGTAGCGAGTGGTCATCAGGGTGTTGTCAGTGTGTAGCGAGTGGTCATCATGGTGTTGTTATGGTGTAGCGAGTTTTCATCAGGGTGTTGTTATGGTGTAGCGAGTGGTCATCAGGGTGTTGTCATGGTGTAGCGAGTAGTCATTAGGGTGTTGTTATGGTGTAGTGAGTGGTCATCAGGGTGTTGTTATGGTGTAGTGAGTGGTCATCAGGTTGTTATTATAATGTAGTGATTGGGCGTCATGATGTTGTTATGGTGTAGGGAGTTTTCATCATGGTGTTGTTATGGTGTAGCGAGTTTTCATCAGGGTGTTGTTATGGTGTAGTGAGTGGTCATCATGGTATTGTTATGGTGTAGCGAGTTTTCATCAGGGTGTTGTTATGGTGTAGCCAGTTTTCATCAGGGTGTTGTTATGGTGTAGGGAGTGGTCATCAGGGTGTTGTTATGGTGTAGCCAGTTTTCATCAGGGTGTTGTTATGGTGTAGTGAGTGGTCATCATGGTGTTGTTATGGTGTAGTGAGTGGTCATCAGGGTGTTGTTATGGTGTAGCGAGTTTTCATCATGGTGTTGTTATGGTGTAGCCAGTTTTCATCAGGGTGTTGTTATGGTGTAGGGAGTGGTCATCAGGTTGTTATTATAATGTAGTGATTGGGCGTCATGATGTTGTTATGGTGTAGGGAGTTTTCATCATGGTGTTGTTATGGTGTAGCGAGTTTTCATCAGGGTGTTGTTATGGTGTAGTGAGTGATCATTAGGGTGTTGTTATGGTGTAGCGAGTTTTCATCAGGGTGTTGTTATGGTGTAGCCAGTTTTCATCAGGGTGTTGTTATGGTGTAGGGAGTGGTCATCAGGGTGTTGTTATGGTGTAGCCAGTGGTCATCAGGGTGTTGTTATGGTGTAGCGAGTGGTCATCAGGGTGTTGTTATGGTGTAGCCAGTTTTCATCAGGGTGTTGTTATGGTGTAGTGAGGGGTCATCATGGTGTTGTTATGGTGTAGCGAGTGGTCATCAGTGTGTTGTTATGGTGTAGTGAGTGGTCATCAGGGTGTTGTTATGGTGTAGCGAGTGGTCATCAGGGTGTTGTTATGGTGTAGCGAGTGGTCATCAGGGTGTTGTTATGGTGTAGCGAGTGGTCATCATGGTGTTGTTATGGTGTAGCGAGTGGTCATCAGGGTGTTGTTATGGTGTAGCGAGTGGTCATCAGGGTGTTGTCATGGTGTAGCGAGTGGTCATCAGGGTGTTGTTATGGTGTAGTGAGTGGTCATTAGGGTGTTGTTATGGTGTAGTGAGTAGTCATCAGGGTGTTGTTTTGGTGTAGTGAATGGACATCAGGGTGTTGTCATGGTGTAGCGAGTAGTCATTAGGGTGTTATGGTGTAGTGAGTGGTCATCAGGGTGTTGTTATGGTGTAGCGAGTGGTCATCAGGGTGTTGTTATGGTGTAGTGAGGGGTCATCAGGGTGTTGTTATGGTGTAGTGAGTGGTCATCAGGGTGTTGTTATGGTGTAGAGAGTTTTCATCAGGGTGTTGTTATGGTGTAGCGAGTTTTCATCAGGGTGTTGTTATGGTGTAGCAAGTTTTCATCAGGATGTTGTTATGGTGTAGCGAGTTTTCATCAGGGTGTTGTTATGGTGTAGTGAGTAGTCATCAGGGTGTTGTTATGGTGTAGCGAGTGGTCATCAGGGTGTTGTTATGGTGTAGTGAGTAGTCATCAGGGTGTTGTTATGGTGTAGCGAGTGGTCATCATGGTGTTGTTATGGTGTAGCGAGTGGTCATCATGGTGTTGTTATGGTGTAGCGAGTTTTCATCAGGGTGTTGTTATGGTGTAGTGAGTGGTCATCATGGTGTTGTTATGGTGTAGTGAGGGGTCATCATGGTGTTGTTATGGTGTAGCGAGTGGTCATCAGGGTGTTGTTATGGTGTAGTGAGTGATCATTAGGGTGTTGTTATGGTGTAGCGAGTTTTCATCAGGGTGTTGTTATGGTGTAGTGAGTAGTCATCAGGGTGTTGTTATGGTGTAGCGAGTTTTCATCAGGGTGTTGTCATGGTGTAGTGAGTAGTCATCAGGGTGTTGTTATGGTGTAGTGAGTGGTCATCAGGGTGTTGTTATGGTGTAGTGAGTGGTCATCAGGGTGTTGTTATGGTGTAGTGATTGGGCGTCATGATGTTGTTATGGTGTAGTGAGTAGTCATCATGGTGTTGTTATGGTGTAGCGAGTTTTCATCAGGGTGTTGTTATGGTGTAGCGAGTGGTCATCAGGGTGTTGTCATGGTGTAGCGAGTGGTCATTAGGGTGTTGTTATGGTGTAGTGAGTGGTCATCATGGTGTTGTTATGGTGTAGCGAGTGGTCATCAGGGTGTTGTCATGGTGTAGCGAGTGGTCATCAGGGTGTTGTTATGGTGTAGTGAGGGGTCATCAGGATGTTGTTATGGTGTAGTGAGTGGTCATCAGGGTGTTGTTATGGTGTAGCGAGTGGTCATCAGGGTGTTGTTATGGTGTAGTGAGTGATCATTAGGGTGTTGTTATGGTGTAGCGAGTTTTCATCAGGGTGTTGTTATGGTGTAGCGAGTTTTCATCAGGGTGTTGTTATGGTGTAGTGAGTGGTCATCATGGTGTTGTTATGGTGTAGTGAGTGGTCATCATGGTGTTGTTATGGTATAGTGAGTTGTTATGCTGTAGGGAGTGGTCATCAGGTTGTTATTATAATGTAGTGATTGGGCGTCATGGAGTTGTTATGGTGTAGTGGTTGGTTGTCAGGGTGTTGCTTTAAGGCTGATTTATACTTCTACGACAAGCGCACGCGTATGCTATGGCGCAGCCTTTGCGTTGACAAATAGCCCTACGCTGTGGCTGTCGGTGTCGCTGACGTGCACCTCTCAAAAAATGTAACTACACGTCGCAACGGCGCGTAGCGCAAGCTCTGTGATTGGTCAGCTTGGTAGTGCTGACGAGTCTTGGCAGTCCCGTGAAGGGGCTCCGGATGTAAAGTTTTGTTTTGTGTTTACCTCATGGTCAAAGTTGTTGCACGTCTGCCATTTCCTGCCTCAAAATGAGCGAGTTTGAGCCACTTGTACATTCAGGAAGTGTTCAGAAAAAACAAAACAGCAGCGAAGACACTCGACACAGAGACGCATTAACACCTCACTCCCCACTAGCGTTTCGGAAGTGTTAATTCAGACCAACAGAGACAGCACGCAGAAGTATAAATGCACAGCTATGCACGTTGCATGCGCTGTGGGTTACGCCGGTCACCTGACGCAGAAGTATAAACCAGGCTTTAGTGTAGTCAGTTGTATTCAAGGTGTTGCTATGGTGTAATGAGTGGTTGCCAGGGTGTTGCTATAGTGTGGTCAGGGTGTTGCTATGGTACAGTTCTCAGGATGATATTAAGGTGTATCTAGGGTGGTTATATGGTACAGTGAGCGGTTGTCAGGGTGTTGCTATAATGTTGTCAGCGCTCAGTAGGGCCCTGTAGGTGTCTTACCCATGTTCCATGTGCCGATGAAGATGGAGATCATGTCCGGCTCGTCCTGATTGGAATGTTTGTTCTTCATGAGCTGCAGTAGTTGGCAGAACGCTTCCCTTTTCTACAGCAGCAGAAATAAACTATTAATCAGTGGTGTGTGAGGGTACATACGATACGGAGCAGAACCAACCAGCAGAAAACATCTCTCTGTCAGAAGACTGGAAAATCTGTTTAGATCTGAGCGACTTACCTTTGCACTGGCGAAGATGAAATCTTTCCTCTGGCTTTTGTCTTTTTCCTTTTCAAAGACGATTCCGAGTTTATTCTGAACACGCTGAGACTTTATCAGCTGCCGAACTACAAACACACAAACACACACACACACACACAGGGCATTAATCCATACTCTACACTTCACAGCACTTCATTGTTTTCCCTAAAATCCACCTATAATCAAGTCATTATACTCTGGTGTTTATCAGTGAACACGCTGAACTCTAAAGCATGACAGGCATTTTGTGCTCTGAATTTTAGTTTGCATCTTCCTTTTTTGCAAAAAAATGAAAGTACCTGCTATAATTATCATCAGGTTCAGGTGTATTCTCTCTCTAAATTGTGTTAATATCTGTACGGTTATGATTTTGCATCTCGAGACAGCAGATGTTTTATTTAATCCAGCATTGCAGGTACGTTTCAGACATCATCCACGTCTTTAACTGGGATGATACACAGCAAATGGATAACTTACAGTAAACTGAATTTATTATTATTGTCAGGTAATTTAAAATGCTTAAAGGTGCTGTATGAGAGTTTCTGACTCTTCTGTGTCATATAAACAGCATCATCTGTGTGCAGATATTCAGAAACATGCTCAGTGAACATGCTTGTTTATCTGAAACACAATGCTGAAGTCAGATATCCAGGGGTCCGTTCTTCGTACGAGGATTACTCAGTTAGCTGGATTTGGATATTGACGATTTGACACGATCCAGGATCGTTTCGTTCTTCAAAGCTGATCCGAGAGTTGTTGTCATAGCAACAGTTCTGCTAGCTTAAACCTGATCGGGAGCAGGTTCAGTTTATATAAACAGGATTAGATCGTCTCAGTTTAAGCAAATATAATACAGAAAGTATGTACCGAATTCTGATATTTTCTTACAGTAGTAGTTATATACACTTGGGAAAAGAGTAAATATTTATAAACTATATATATAAAGTTATAGTTATTAATAAAATAAATTAAGTTATACATATTAATAAAACTTATGCAATCTGCACTCTCGAAATGAAAGTACAAAGACTGCCACCTGCTGGTGCAAAGAGAAAACTTATTGATATGAACTTTTTAGATCGCTTTAGTACAAATTGTGTATAATAGAAATGCAGAATATGTGACTTTTTAAAAGCAATAATACATTTCAGCAGTCATGAACATGTTTTGACAGTTAATATGCCGGTGATTTGATGCTTCACAAAAGTTGCAGACGCCTTTACCATTATCAAAATGCTTTTGTAAACAACCAGTTATTCTTTACACCGATTAAAAAACGGCTACTATTATAAAGAAAATCTTCTCTAAATGTAGAACTAAATACACTGATTTGCACTGAAATACATGATGAATACTCTTGACACAAGTGTAAAGCCTGCAGCTCACAACAAATGTGGAAGATTATTGCGTATCATATTTAACAAGCCGTTTACTGCTAATTTGACATAATTTTGCTCACATGGATAATTGAATATTAATCAGATGATGTCATCACGCTGCTGTGCCGTCAGCCAATCGCTGCATTGCTGATCATGATTTGGAGGATGGATAGATCTGTCCTTCAATACACACGCAGCGATCTCAGATCAGCTCATCCAGACATTTTAATCTGATTCACCAACTTGTTTGAAGAACCAAATTAGCGCGAGATCAGTTATCAAGATTAAAAGATCCATGATCTGCCAAATAATCTTAGATCATTAAAGCGAGGTACGAAGAACAGACCCCTTCTGTGAACATGTGTTTACTGTGCCGGAACGGCTCTTTGTTTTGGTTCTTTAAGCCGCCCAATGCCAGTTTAGCCAATTATATTCCAGCACCCGGGTTGCCAGATGGTGTAAAACAGCGCATTTCATTTATTCAGTCAGGAAGAGTCTGAAAGTGTGTGTTCGTGACTGAAATGTGACCTCTGGTGGACAGTAGCAGACTCTGAAATGAGATGCAGATTCAGAGTTCCACATGAGGTCATTAATTAGCAAATAATATAAATATTACGAGTGTAAACATTAGGTTTACGCTAAATGACGAGATACGCAGTGATGAGCAGTTTGCAGCAGACGAAACATGACAGAAATGTAAATTCAGAAGCACAGAATAGTGCACTCACTGCCCTCCAGCACAATGCTGAGCTTTACAATCTAATGAACATATATTAAAGCTCTTCAACATGATCAAATGTACTGTAGTAAATCTGTGTGTGTGTGTGTGCGTGTGTGTGTGTGTGTGTGTGTGTGTGTGTGTACGTGTTTTTGTGACATATCAGAACACAAATCTGTATAATGACATGGGTATGACACAGGTATTACAAAAAGCAGGTGAAATATGAGGACATTGGTGACGTCCTCATTTCTCAAAATGCTTATAAATCCTACAGGATGAGTTTAATCAGAGAGTAAAGCTGCACACTGACTCCTGTGATGGTTGGGTTACAGGGTGGGGTGAGGGCAATACAATATACAGTTTGGGCTGTATAAAATGAATGGAAGTTTATGTAATGTACCCACTTTTCACAAAAACAAACATGTGAGTGTGTGTATGTGTGTGTGTGTCTCACTCTTGTCATGTGTGAACGTGTTCCAGTCTTCCTGCGCGTCCTTCATTTTCTTCATCACCACCAGTTTTCCTCCCTCCACGTCCACACTCAGAGAATACTTCTGACTCTTGCCGATCTTCGTCAGGTCGGCCAGATACACGTCCAGTTTCACCTGACACACACACACACACACACACACAGCACACATATTAGACAACACGCACACACACTCATCCAACAAAACAAACACACTCATTAGACACACACACACACACACACACACATATAAAAAAACAACACACACACACACATATAAAAAAACAACACACACACACACACACACACATGCTGTTGGGCTGTTGTTGTACCTCGAAGGTTTGCACAGGAATGACTTTGTTTCTGATGGAGAGCAGCGGTGAGATGGCCGGAGTGGAGGAGCTCATGTCCTGAAGAGCCTTCAGAGCCTGAAACACACACACACACACACACACACACACACACACACACACACACGCACACACACACACACACACACAGACGTGTAGCAAATACTTGTTTATAAATGATTATTCCACCGATCTGCTGAACGCTTGATTCTGATTGGCTGATGATCACTCTCAGCTGTTTGGTTATTGTCAGATAAATGCACAGGCATAAGTAGTTCCGGCAGGTTTAGAGTGCATTACGTGTGTGTGTGTGTGTGTGTAAGTGTATATGTATTTGATTGTGTGTGTGTGTGTGTGTGTGTATGTTTCAATATGTATGTGTGTGAGTGTGTATAAGTTTGTGTTTATATGTGTACAAGTGTGAAGGTGTGTGTACTGTATGTGTCTCTTTGTGGGTGCACGTATGTGCATCTGTGTGCTTGTGTTTGTGTGTATAGATGTAGATGAGTCCATTTGTGAGAGTGTGTGAGTGTGTTTTTGTGTATGTGTGTATAGATGTGTGTGTGTCTGTGAGAGTGTATGTGTGTGTGAGTGTGTTTTTGTGTATGTGTGTAAAGATGTGTGTGTGTCTGTCAGAGTGTATGTGTGTGACTATGTCTGTGTGTGCACACGTTTCTCTGTGTGTGTGTGTGTGTGTGTTTGTTTGTTTATATATGCAAGTATATATGAGTGTGTGTGTGTGTGAGACTGTGAGAGTGTATATGTGTGTTTGTGTGTATGTGTGTCTGTGCTTCTTTCTAGTGTGTCAATGTGTGTGAGT